GCGTGTACCCCGCTCTGTCGCAGCCCGTGAGCTGGGAGCAGCCCCCCAAACAATCGTCATTATGGCTCCGTTCCCACGCCGCGCAACAGTCCCGGCGCATCTTCGTCCAGACCCTTGGGAAGAGGGCCAAGAGTCCGATCCGCCGCACCCCGCCGCCGTCCTTGTTGATGAAGATGATCTGCATCAAGAAGGCGTCGAAGGTGTCGGGCCGCTCCTCGAAGGAGACCAGTATGTCCAAGAACAGCTCCAAAGCTTCGTCGCCAAGCTGGAGGAAGACCCTCGGGTTGAGGCCGCCCCAGCCCAGACCTGCTGAGGGCGCATAGCTTCGGCATACGTCCTTCAGCCGCTGCAGCGTCAGCAAGGGGCAGCTGCTCGTCTCCGCAATCCCAACTGGAGGGGTGTGCATCTCAGTCCACTCGCCTGCACCACATCGGCAACCACTGCGCCAACAGCACGTCGATCGCCGCTGGCCGTTGGCTGGCCGTTGGCCGGGGGCCAGAGCCAGAGGCGCACGTCAGGTCGGCCGACTCCTCGACCCGCCTCCGGGCGTAGCGGTGCGCTTGTCGGCCGCCCTTCTTGCACGCAGCCTGCGCCCAGCTGCGCCAGCCGTCTGCCTGCTCCCGGGCATCGGCACGCCGACGCCTGGTCAGCTCCTCCTCGACGAGACGCGTGGTTGCCTCGTCAGTGCGCCCCTGACTGGGAGGAGGAGGAGGAGAGGAGGACGAGGAGGAGGAGGAGGCGGAGGAGGAGGAGGAGGAGGGAAGAGGGAGGAGGGAGGAGGGAGGCGGGAGGAGGGAGGAGGAGAGGAGGACGAGGAGGAGGAGGACCAGTGTAAACCCAAGAGTCATCAACGATGGAATAAACCCTCCCTCCAACGGTTCATTTTCATTGAAGGAACTGCCTCTTTGGAAGACAACTGATTAAAGACCCTGAAACATGCCAAAAAATGGTTTCCGGGATTCCAACGCCACGGATCAACCTGACTCTTGCGTCCTGACAATCCCGAATCGTGCCAGAACGCCGCTCCTGGGACTTCAACACAGCGAATCAGCATCACTGTTGCGCCCGCATATATCCTGAATCCGTTCAAACCACCAATTCTGGCACGGGGAATCCGTGAAACCCTTGCACATGTTCAAAATGAATGCGCGCCGCGCGAAAACGATAACCACATATTGAAAAAGAACCGCCCTCAATCCGTGAAGCTCTTGCACATGCGTAGCAACGAATCTGCGACGCGCTAAAACGAAAACCACTCTTGGAAAACGACCCGACCTCCATCCGTAAAGCTCTGGCAAACTTCGAAAACAAACGGGCGCCGCGCCAGAGCGAGAACCACATTTTGAAAACGAGCCGCTTCAATCCGTGAAACTCTTTCGAATTTGTGAAACGAACGAATGTGCGCCGCGCCAAGGCGAGAGCCACATGTTGAAAACCACACGCCCTCAACCCGTGAAATCCGAGCTAACGTTTAAAACGACTGTGCGCCGCACTAAGGCGAGAACCACATGTTGAAAACCACCCGCCCTCAATCCGTGAAGCTGTTGCAAATTTTTAAAACGAATGTGCGCCGCGCTGGGGCGAGAGCCACATTTTGAAAACCACCCGCCCTCCATCTGTGAAGCTGCTGCCAATGTGTAAGCTTCAGGGTCAAACGCGCCGGGCCTAAAAACTCACCTCGGGGTGCGACAGGGAGAATTCATTTACAAGGAAAAGGAATGGAGGCGGAGGAGGAGGAGGAGGCGGATGAGGAGGAGGAGAAGGAGGAGGAGGAGGAAAAGGGCGGAAGAGGAGGAGAAGGGCGGAGGGAGGAGTGGGAGGGGGAGGAGAGAGAGAAAGAGAGAGAGAGAGAGAAGGAGGATGAGGAGCTGGAGGAGGAGGAGGACGAGGAGGAGGAGGAAAATCAGTGTAAACCCAAGAGTCATCAACGATGTTGGAATACACCCTCCCTCCGAGCTGCCTCTCCACAAGCCCCTTTACAAGGGTTCATTTCCACTGAGGGAACTGCCTCGTTAGAAGGCAGCCGTTTGAAGACCTTGATGCGTGCCAAAATATCGCCCTCGGGACTCCAACGCCACGGATCAACCTGACTGTTGCGTCTTGACAAGCCTGACTCGTGCCAGAACACGATTCCTGGGACTTCAACACAACGAATCAACATAACTGTTGCGCCCTCATATTCCTGAATCCTTTCAAAACACAGATTCTGGTACGCTGATGATGGGAACCTGTGACACTTTTGAAAATATGTGAAACGAATGCCTGCTGCGCCAAAACGAGAACCACATTCTGAAAACGAGCCGACATCCATCCGTGAAATGAAGCCCTTGCAAGCTTTTAAAACGAATGTGCGCCGCGCTATGGCGAGAACCACATTTTGATCACGAGTCGCCCCCAACCCGTGAAGTTCTTGCATTAAAAGACGCATGTGCGCCACGCAAAAACGATAAACACATTTTGAAAACGAACCGCCCGCAATCAGTGCAACCCTTGCAACGTTTTGCAACGAATGCGCGCCGCGCGAAAACGAGACCAACAGTTTGAAAACCACCCGCCCTGCATCCGTGAAGCTCTTGAGTATGTTTATAACGAATATGCGCCGCCCTAAGGCGAGAGTCACATTTTGAAAACGACCAGCCCTCCATGTGTGAAGCTGCTGTCCATTTTAAGCTTCCGAGTCAGAAGTGGTGAAGAAGTCTCAGGCAAAACGCCCGGCCCGCCCTAACAACTGACCTCGGGGTGCGACATGGAGAAATGATGTTTAAGACAGAGGAATGTAGAAGGAGGAGGAGGAGAAAAAGGAGGAGGAAGGAGAGGAGGAGGAGGAGGACGAGGAGGAGGACGAGGAAAAGGAAGAGGATGAGGAGAAACAGGAGGAGGAACAAAAAGGAGGAGAAGAAGGAAAAGGAGAGAGAGGAGAGAGGAGGAGGAGGAGGAGGAGGAGGAGGAGGAGGAGGAGGACGGAGCTGGTGGAGGGGGAAAAGGAGGAGGAGGTGGAGGTTGAGGGAGGAGGAGGAGGAGGAGGAGGAGGAGGAGGAGAGGAGGAGGAGGGGGGGGGAGGGGGGTCAGGGAAGGAGGAGGTGGAGGAGGAGGAGGAGGAGGAGGAGAGGATGGGAGGTCCAAAACAGGAGGAGGGCAGGAGGAAGGTGAATGGGGAGAGGAAAATACGAGGGGGCGTAAGGAGGGAAGGAGGAAGGGGAGGAAGATAACCAGGGAAAGTGTAAAACCAAAAAGAAAAGAACCATCAAGGCATGGTATGCAGGTGTTGCGAATTAACCCTGCCTCCCAGTTTCCTTTTCCACAGGTCCTTACTACGGTTCATTTCCATTGAAAGAACTGCCTCGTTGGAAAACAACCGTTTGAAGATCCGGAACCATGCCAGAACATTGTTCTCGGGTTTGTAACGTCACGGATCAAGCCGAGTGCGGCGTCTTGACGATCCGGAATCATACCAGAACGCCATTTTTGGGACTTCAGCACCGCGAGTCAACATAACTGTCGCGCCCGCATGATCTTGAATCCTTTCAAGATATCATGTCTGGAACGTTGATGATGGAAACCAGTGAGTCTCGTGCAACGTGTAAAACGAATGTGCGCTGCGCGAAAACGAAAACAACAATTTGAAAAGGAGCCGCCCTCAATCCGTTGAATTCTTGCAATTTTCTACAACGAATGTGCGCGGCGCGAAGGCGAGATCCACATGTTGAAAAGCAGCCGCTTCAATCCGTGAAACCCCCTGCAAATGTTTACACGAATGTGCGGGGCACGAAGGCGTGAGCCACATGTTGAAAACCACCCGCCCTCAATCCGTGAAGCTGTTGCAAGTTTTTTAAAACGAATGTGCGCGGCGGTATAAGGCGAGAGCCACATTTTGAAAACCACCCGCCCTCTATCTGTGAAACTGCTGCCATTCGTTAAGCTTCAGAACCATAAATGGTGGAGAAGTCTCAGGCGAAACGCCCGGCCCGCCCTAACAACTGGCCTCGGGGTGCGACAGGGAGAAATCATTTATAAAGAAAAGGGGTTGAAGAGGAGGAGGAGGACCATTGTAAACCCAAGAGTCAGCAACGATGTTGGAATTAACCCTCCCTCCAAGCTCACTCTTCACAGGCCCCTACAACGGTTCATTTCAATTGAGGGAACTGCCTCGTTGGAAGACGACCGTTTGAAGATCCTGAACCATGCCAAAACATTGTCCTCGGGATTCCCACGCCACGGATAAGCCCGACTGCTGCGCCTTGACGATCCAAAATTGTGCCAGAACGCTATTCGTGGGACTTTAACACCGCGAATCAACATAACTGTTGCGTCCGCATAATCTTGAATCCTTTTAAAACAACATTTCTGGTACGCTGATCACGTGAGTCCGTGAAATTCTAGCAATGTTCAAAAAGAATGTGCGCGGCGCTTAGGCGAGAACCACAATTTGAGAACGACAGGCCCTCAATCCGTGAACATCTTGCAACTCTTTAAAACACATGTGCGGGGCGCTATAAGGCGAGAGCCACATTATGAGAATAACCCCCGCCCTGAATCCGTGAACCCCGTTGCAAATGTTTGAAACGATTGTGCGGGGCGAAAAAGCGAGAACCAAATTTTGAAAACGACCCGCCCTCAATCCGTGAACCTCTTGCAAACTGTTACAAACAATGTGCGCGGCGTTATACGGCGAGAACCACATTTTGAAAGCGACTCGCCCTCAACCCGTGAAGCTCCTGCAAATGTTCAAACGGATGTGCACGGCGCTGAGGCGAGGAGGAGGAGGATGAGGACGAGGAGGAGGATGATGATGAGGAGGAGGAGAAGGAGTAGGAGGAGGAGAAACAGGAGCAGGAGCAGAAGCAGGAGGAGGAGGAGGAAAAGCAGATGGAGCAGGAGGAGGAGGAGGACGAGGAGGAGGAGGAGGAGGAGGAGGAGGAGGAGCAGGAGCAGGAGCAGGAGAAGGAGGAGGAGGAGGAGGAGGAGGAGGAGGAGGAGGAGGAGGAGGAGGCGGAGCCGCCCCCCCCCCCCCCCCCCCCCGCGTCTTTCACGCGCGCTCGCCGTCGCTTCGCCGCCGCCGGCGCCCGCTCTGGCGGCCCGCGCCGCGCGGCCGCGCCGTTACAGCACGGGCAGCGACTCCGTCATTGGCACCGCCGGCGGCTGCGGGTTCACCATCCACGAGAGCGGGCGCGCCGGCTGCTGCTGCTGCTGCTGCTGCTGCTGGTGCGCGGCCAGCTGCGCGGCCAGCTGCTGCGCCGCCAGCTGCGCGTGCGGCTGCATGAGCGCGCTGAGCATCATGCGCTGCTGCTGGAGATCGATCTGCATTTTTCTGGAGATCGGTCTACACTGGCTCTGGACAGCCCCACGTGTGCCCCTGCGCACCAATACTGCGTACCCCCTTCGGACCTGCGCAGCTGACAAGTTCAGGTTATCCGGGGCTTGGGGGGGAGAGGGGAGAGGGAGAGCCCGATAACACTGGTTATCGGCGGGCCCCGAAACAAGAGTCTCCTGCTGGGCCTGCATCTGCTGGTGGTGCTGGAGCATCTGCTGCTGCTGCAGCAGGGCCTGCTGCTGCAGCAGGGCCTGCTGCTGCTTGGCCTGCTCCTCCTGCTGCTTCCTGCGCAGCTCCTCCTGCTCCTGCCTCGCCCGCTCCTCCTGGGCCTCTCGCTCCCGCCGCTCGGCCTCCCTCTGGGCCATCTCCTCCGCGCAGGCCTTCTCGATGACCTGGCTGGGGGGCAACGATCCAGGGGGGGAGCCGGCTCAGGAGGGCAGAAACATGGACCTGGAATGAAGTCGGGCCTGTCCTCCTACAGGGTGATTGTGGGCGAAAGATACAAAAATACCACCAAACTATTCCAAACATGCTCAAGCATTGTAAAACAATAGTCCCCAGACGATTTTTGACTATTTTTGAAAATCCCCCATGTAGAGGGACAGGCCCGACTTGGACCTGGACTCGGCGACGCATCGCCGAGGGGTCGGCGGCATCTAGACAGCGCAACCGCACGGTCCCGGGAGTGGTGGGCCAGCGGGCCACTGTTGTCGCTCCACGGGCGATCGGGGGTCGGTTCGTCCCCCTCGGAGCCAGTACCCCCCCCTATCGTTGCTCCCCTCGCGCGCGCGGAGTCGGAATCGTAGTCGTAGTCGTGGTCGTAGTCGTGGTCGTACTCGTAGGGTCTGGGCGGAGTTGCCGGATCGGCGCTGGACCCCCCCCCCTCCCTGGCGCGCGGAGCGCGCCAGGGAGGCAGCGCCGCAAGCGCGTGGCCAGGTGGGCCCAGCGCAGATCCAAGAGAACTCCGCGCGGAGTTCCGAGAGTTTGGCCTGTGCAGCGTCTGGTACTGCGAGGGCCAGTCCACAAGAAGCCCTTCCACAGGAAGCCCAACCCTGAGACCCCAGGGCGTCCACTGACTGTTGGTGTGGACACGTCACGCTTTCCATCGCAAGGCCATCGAAACCCAAGAAAGCCCAGGGCATCCTGGAGGCAAGCAGGGTGTGTCTTGGGATGGGTCTCCCCTGTATCTGATGACCTCTAGGCGACACAGGAGGTCCTTGGTGGGGTCCTGGCCCAGCAGCGGGCCCTCCTGAATCGCCCTCTTCTGCACCTCGGGGTCCGCCTGCTTCAGCCGGCGCTCCGCGTACGTGCTGATCCAGTTCTTGAGGGCGAACGCACTGGCGTCGCGAGGCCGGTCCTCTGTGAGGCAGTCCTCCGCCTCGATCGTGTCCTGGAGAGAGCAAAAGCAACAACACCAACAACAACTTTCGAGGGCCCGCGCAGATTTCCGGATCTGGGCTGGACCCTCCTGGCTGCGTTTCCGGCGCCGCCCCTGGGGCGCTCCGCGCGCCATGGAGGGGGGTCCAGCGCCGCTCCAAGAACTCCGCGCGGAAGTCCGAAAATGTACTTATTTGAGCAGGGACCGACCGTCCCGGCATTCCCATAGGCCTAGCACGAAATGTATGTTCTAAGGACAACAACACAGTTCTTATAACATAGGCCCGATGTGTTAAAACAAGACAGCCCCCGCCAAACATGTTCTAGTAACATCCCCTGCAAAACACAAGACAAATCCTAGAGCATTCTTTGGTGGGCCTCTATAGGCGAGCCGGGACGCTCCGCCATTGCTTGACTAGGAGTCCTCCCGCAGGCGGCTGACCCGAGACCCCAGCACCGCATCCGGTCTGAGGCCGAAGCACGGGCCTGCCCCGATCACCTTCACCACGTGCTCGTCGGGCAGGCTGCGCAGCAGCGCCACGGCCTTCTTGCTGAGGCCAGGGTTGCCGGCCGCGAAGGCCTGGATGAGGTCGCTCCCGGCCGGCAGCGCGGACTCCACCTCCTTGAGGGGCAACGCAAGGGTTAGGTCGGGCATGTCCCCCTACAGGCGGATTTTGGACGACAAATTTAACATGCTCAAAACAATACAATCAGAGAGTCAAAGCATGCAACAAACAATCGTCCCCAGGCGATGCTTGACATATTTGGATACTCCTCCTGCAGAGGGACAGGCCCGCCTTAACGCTAGGGGGGGGACGGGCTCAGGGGGTGAAGCATCAACCTGTCGGCGCGACAGATCGCCGACGTGGGGCCCCCGATAGCGAGCCCGCGCGCTCCTGGGCGGGGTAGTCTATCGGGCCCCCATCGGCGATCGATGGGCGATGGGGTGTCGATGCGTCCCCCACCTGGGCCGATCCTCCCCTGCCTAGAGAGCAGAACATCCACCCCCCTTCGAAGCGCCCCGACAGGCGAAGCCGCCCAGTAAACGCACCCCCAGGGAAGGCATCGCACGGGGCAGGTCTGTTTCGTAAACGCCCGGGGGCCGTGCAGCAGACGCAGCCGATCCGGGGTCGGGGTGGTTTCCCCTCCCTTGGCTGTCGCTGCCCCCGCCGCCTGCGCCTTGGCGCGCCTGTCGTGAATGATCTGCAGCAGCCCGGAGGACAGCACGCGCAGCGCCCCGAAGCCGGGGCCGCCCCCCGCGCCCCCGCCCTCCGTGTAGAGGTCGGGCCAGATGGGCCCCTTCCTGCGCGCCTTGTGGCACAGCCTGACGAGGCCTGGGGAGAGCCAGAAGCTTGGGCGCGCATTCGTAGGGGGGCAGTCAATGAGGGGGGGGGGGCAGCCAGGGCTGCAGTAGAGGGGCCCCCCCGTGGCCCCTGAAGGGTCCCTTTCGGGCCCCAGAGGGGGCCTTCAGGGCCCGAAAAGGGGCACCGTTCCCCCCCCCCCCCCATGTTTGGCGGCGCGCACTGGGGGGTAGGGGGAGGGGGGACGGCTTCCTAGAAGAACCCTGCTTCCTGGCAGGCCCCGGCCTCACCTCTACGGAGAAGGCCAGCGCCTTCTAAGAAGCACGGGGTTCTCCTGAGAAGCCTCCCCCCCTCCCCTGCCTCCCTCCGCGCGTGGCCGACGCAGATCGCCCTCCGATCAGTTCGCGCCCACGATGCGGCGTGAATCTACGGCCCGGAACTTCTGCGCAGCGCACTCGCCATCGCTCGGACGTCCTTTCCCTGTGTTTTTTTCGGTTTCGTGCGTGTTTTTTCGCCAAATGATCAAGGATGCTCCTCGATGGTCCTCGCCGAAGGACGAACGCACACGTCCGAGCGATGCCAGGCGCATCGCCCGGGCGGCCCCCCGTGCTCGGTGGAGGGGGACCGCGCGTCGCTCCGCTCCGCGGGGGGGGGGCTGGGAACAGGGCGGCACGTGCTCGCCGGGATAGCGCGAAGCGGAGGATAGCGTGCAGCGCGGAGGCGTGGTTATAATAATAATAATACTACTACTACTACTAATAATAATAATAATAATTATAATATTAATACTAATAATAATAATGATAGTAGTAGTAGTAGTAGTCGTAGTAGTAGTAGTAGTAGTAGTAGTAGTAGTAGTAGTAGTAGTAGTAGTAGTAGTAGTAGTAGTAGTAGTAGTAGTAATAATGATAATAAGAAGAAGACGAAGAAAACACACATAAACCTAAACTTTTGGCGCTCCGCGCGGCTTTCCTGGATCCGCGCCGGACCCCCCCTCCCTGGCGCGCGGGGCGCGCCAGGGGCGGCGCCGGAGGCGCCGCCAGGGGGGCCCAGCGCGGATCCAAGAGATCCGCGCCGAGCGCCAAGAGTTTGTGTTGATGTGGTTGTTTTCTTCTTCGAAAAGAAAACGTATAATAAGACAAATAATAAGACACGTAAGAAAACAAACACATAAACCTAAAGATCTAGGAAAGCCGCGCGGGGCGCCAAGAGTTTGTGTTGATGTGGCTGCTTCTCCTTCGAGTGGTGGGCCAGAGCTGGCGCAGCGACACGCCAGCCCAGAAAGTTTCTGGCCGTCCGCTTCCGGTCGGGGCACAGGCTCTGTACACCCACGCTTTCATTTTTGTCCGGCCCTGCACGAAACACTTGCACAGGGAAGCGGATCCTGGTGCATACGGGATCCTGGTCTGTATATATGTGTATATATATACACACATGTGTCGCTCTCCCTGGCACGGGCAAGCGGATCCTGGTGCATACGGGATCCTGATCTATATATATATATATATACAGTGTGGTGGGGATCAGAGGTCTAAATCTCACGCAGACGATAAGACGATAAGACGATAAGACGACATAAGACGATATGCCGATAAGACGATAAGACGATACAGGGGCAGCATACGATAAGACGATAAGACGATAAGACGATATAGGGCCACACCAGACGATAAGACGATAAAACCAGCTTATTGTCTACAGTGTGGTGGGGATCAGCGGTCTAAATCTCACTCAGACGATAAGACGATAAGACGATAAGACTACATAAGACGATATGCCGATAAGACGATAAGACGATAAAGGGCCAGCATACGATAAGACGATAAGACAATAAGACGATATAGGGCCACGCCAGACGATAAGACGATAAAACCAGCTTATTGTCTTATCGTCTCATCGTCTGATGATGGTGACAACGACGACCACGAGGACACTGATGATGGTGATGGTACCGCTGATGGTGATAGTGACGCTCATGGCGATGAAAATCATAAATGGTGATGGTTGTGATGATGGTGATGGCGGCGATGATTGATGGTGATGCTTGTGATGATGGCGAGGATGGTGATGGACGAAGATCATGGTGCACATGGGTGTTATGACAGTGGTGATGGTGAGGGTGCTGGTGAAAAAACTTGATGATGGAAATTGCGATTTGGACCTGCGTTTCAATGATTTTGGAAGCATTGAAACATATGCCGTACATCGTTGATGGTACGCCTGTGTACATACATGGTGCGCGGGTCTCAAGCGGAAGTGGCCTGACCACCTTAGCTCAGGGCATCTTGGAAACCAAGATTGCGAGGACGTCTCGGGCGAAAGTGGCCTGAACACCATGGGGCAGGGAACCTTCGAGGTCAGACTTGCGAGGATGTCTCGGGCGAAAGTGGCCTGAGTGCCAGGACAGCCAGATTTCAACAGGGAACCCTGCGAGGTTTCAACCGGGGACATTTTCTGGCGCTGCCCTGAGTGCCAGGACAACCAGATTTCAACAAGGAACCCTGCGAGGTTTCAACCGGGGACATTTTCTGGCGCTGCCCTGAGTGCCAGGACAGCCAGAAAAAGTTAGCCAGCGTGGTGCAAGCAATCTACGTGGGCCAGTGCACGTGGTACCATCTATGTGGTGCATTCTGTGTGGTGCAGTCTATGTGGTGCAATCTATGTGGTTCAATATATGTGGGGCCGTCGATGTGTTGTAACCTATGTGGTGCAAGCTAAGTGGTGCAATCTCTTGGACTCTTGGAGATACTTGCATGTACATGTACAATGCTCTGCCTCCCGAGGCATCCCCCAATGTTGAGCGCTCTGAGGTTTCCACCGGGTGTCCTTCAATGCTGCGCCCTCCGAGGTTTCTACAATACGTCCTCCACTGCTGAGCCCTGCGAGGTTTCAACAGGCATTTCTCCAATGCTGCCAACTGCCCCAGCGCCAACTGCAGATCAGCTCCCGACGATACGGCGATAAGACGATAAGACGGTAAGACGCTATATGCATGCCCCTATATCGTCTTATCGTCTTATCGTCTTATCGTCTAGCGATGCCCTATATAATCTTATCGTCTTAATATGTGGGGCCGTCGATGTGTTGTAACCTATGTGGTGCAAGCTAAGCGGTGCAATCTCTTGGACTCTTGGAGATACTTGCATGTACATGTACAATGCTCTGCCCCCCGAGGCATCCCCCAATGTTGAGCGCTCTGAGGTTTCCACCGGGTGTCCTTCAATGCTGCGCCCTCCGAGGTTTCTACAATACGTCCTCCACTGCTGAGCCCTGCGAGGTTTCAACAGGCATTTCTCCAATGCTGCCAACTGCCCCAGCGCCAACTGCAGATCAACTCCCGACGATACGGCGATAAGACGATAAGACGGTAAGACGCTATATGCATGCCCCTATATCGTATTTTCGTCTTATCGTCTAGCGATGCCCTATATAGTCTTATCGTCTTATCGTCTTATTATCTTATATCGTCTTATCGTCTTATCGTCTTATCGTCTGGCTTTGAAATAACGACCCCTGTTTCCCACCACAATGTATGTATACACATTTTTCGCTCGCCCTGGGAAGCGGATAAGAAAAGTATACACCGTACCACCCCGACGGCGTCCCCGACCCTCAAAAAATCCGGAGATCAAAAAAGCACACTCGGTGGCAACTCGTGGAAGCCTCCCGTACCATCTTGTCGGCCTTTGCGCATCGACGCTGGCCGACGCTAAATCGACGCTCATCGACGCCAAACCGAAGCCACCCGACGCTACATCGGCGCTCTCGCATCCACGCCCAGACGTCAATGGACGCTGATCGACGCGAAGGACAACATTGCGAAGGTACGCACAAAGCTCCCATGACTTGCCACCAGAAAAACAGCCCGCCACTGGTAGAGTATAGATTTAGGTCGGGCATGTCCTCCTACAGGCGGACTTTCGGGAAGAACAATGGAACATTGCCAAAACATGCTCAAACATAGCCGAACAAAGTAACATACATCATCCCCATACAGTGCGGGTGCGGGCGCGGCCGCTTATAAGAAACCCTCGCAAGAAACCCGACCCCGAAAACCCGCGCGCGAGGTGCACCGGAGGGGAAACCCGGAGCATCCTGAGCGAAGCAGCTCTCTTACGACCGCGGGAAGCTACCGCGCAGCGCGCGGAGCGAAGAAACCCAGGGTACCCTGACGAAACGCGCACGGTTTCTTGATGCGCGCCCCCACTGTAGTGTGAAGTCGGGCGCGTCCCCCTACAAGGGGATTTCCGACGAAAAATAAAACATACTCGCAAAATACCCCCAAAATGCTCAAGAATAGTCCAAAAATTGTCCCCTGGCTATTTCTCCACTGTTTTTGAAGATTCCCCCTGTAGAGGGACAGGCCCGACTTCACTGTAGTGCTCCAGTCTCAACTTCACTGTAACAGGGACAGGCCCGACTTAACTGTAGTGTAGAGTGTAGAGGGAGAGGCCCGACTTAACTGTACTGTAGTGCAGTGTAGAGGGACAGGCCCGACTTAACTGCAGTGTAGAGATGCTCCTCCTGCAGACGAGCTTCGCGCGGCGAGCGGAGCGCGCCCCTTTGGGCCGCGCACCCGGGGGGGCGCCGCCCAAAAGGGCGCGGGGAGGGGGGCCCCGGCGCCGCCTCGGTAAGCATCCCGAGGACCTCCAGAAGTCTGCTCGGAGGAGGAGGGGGAGGAGGAGCAGGAGGAGGAGGGGGAGGAGGGGGAGGAAGACGAGCAGGAGGAGGAGGAGGAGGAGGAGGAGGAGGAGGAGGAGAAGGAAGAGGACGACGATCACGACGAGAACGAGGAGGACAAGGTTCCTACTCCGGGTTTCTTGATACGCGTGGGGGTGGTACACCCCCAACGTGGGTCAACCTCGCCTCGTCGTCGCGCCGCGACGGGGGTCGGAGCGCCTTCGGCGCGCGGTGGCTGCCCGCGACGGGGGTCGATGCGGGGCTGTCGGCGGGGGTGACGCCCTCCCGACGCCTCTAAAGAAACTCGGAGTACAGCCGGCCCGTATCATAAGGACGCGCGACAAGGATGCAAGGGCCTTGGGGAAGGCCCTCTGGGAGCTTTTCAGGCGGGGCGAGGCCAACGAAGGTTGCCAAGGATGGGCCGAGGCGGCAAGGATGCAAGGGTACCCTGGGGAAGGTTACCCATCCTTATCAGCTTCCCGAGGACCTGCAAGAGTCTACGTCTGCGCCACCTGTCTGGACACCCCCACCACCCGAGGAGGAGGAGGAGGAGGAGGAGGAGGCGGAGGAGGCGGAGGAGGAGGGCATCGGGGCGATCGCCCGACACCCCACTGGGGAAGCCTTGGCCCCTGCGGGTCGAGACCCCCCCCCCCTGGGTGGGGACGGGTGCCGTCTCCTTCGGGCCCCGCGGCGCCCATCCTCGCTGGGAGAGCCTGCCTGCCCTGTCCCAGCGGGGCTGTGGACGTCGTATGTTGCACCCTTCGGGGGACCTTGTCCGTCCCGTCGCGGCCCTTCTCCGCGTCGGACCCGTGTCGAACTCATGTCGGGCTCGTCGAGTCCGCATCAAATCCGCACCAAATCAGCGTCGAGTCCGCATCCAGCCCGCGTTGGGCACAAGGAAAGACCAGTACATGGGAACGGATGAGGTCCTCCGAAGATGCAACGCGATTGATGCGATGATTCTGACGATAATGAATTCGTTGGCCTTTTTTGGGGTGGATGAGGAGGTGCCGATACCGCTGCTCCCCAGACCTATCCTTAGGTCGGGCATGTCCCCCCACAGGCGGATTTCGGGCGAAAAATTAAAATAGCCAAAACATGTCTAAACCCAATCAAGAAGTAATAGAACAATCGTCCCCATAATCACTATTTATTATTGTCATTATCATTATTATTGAATGCCTATACGGCAACACTTCAGGTGATTAGGACGTTGTGGGGGGGAGGGGGGGAACCAACATCTGACTCAATCGAACTCACTATCGATCTCACTCAACGGGACACCACGGGACACCACGTGACACCACGGGACACTTGTCGATCTCACTATCGATCTCACTCAACGGGACACCACGGGCCACCATGGGCCACCACGGGACAACGCGGGACACCTCTCGATCTCCTTATCGGTCTCACTGTCGATCTCAGTCTATCGATCTCACTCAACGGGACACCACAGGACACCACGGGCCACCACAGGACACCTCGGGACACCACGGGACACCTCTCGATCTCACTATCAGTCTCACTATCGATCTCACTATCGATCTCACTCAACGGGGCACCATAATACACCACGGGACACGACGGGACACCACCGGACACCTCGGGCCACCGCATCGATCTCACTATCGACCTGAATATCGATCTCACTCAACGGGACACCACGGGAAACCACCGGACACCTGTCGATCTCACTCTCGATCTCATTATCGATCTCTCATTTTGGGACACCACGGGCCGGACCACGGGACGCCTCGGGGCACCACGTCAATCTCAGTATCGATCTCACTATCGATCTCACTCAAAGGGACACCACGGGCCTTTCGGGACACTTGTCGATCTCACTATCGATTCATCTCACTATCGATCTCACTCAACGGGACACCACGGGACACCACGGGCCACCACGCGACACCACGGGACACCGCTAGGGCCACCGCTGGACGGAGGAGAATCATTTGTCTTGGCTTCGCCCTGGCAATGGCGGACACCACGGGACACCACGAGACACCGCTAGGGCCACCGCCGGACGGCATTTGTCTTGACTTCGCCATCACGGGACACCACCGGACACCGCGGGACACCGCGAGGGCCACTGCCGAACGGACGGAGGATACCTATACGACCACCCTTCGGGTGATAAGGAGGTTCGGGGGGGGGGGAACCAACGTCTCACTCGATCGGTCTCACTATCGATCTCAGTATCGATCTCACTATCGGTCTCGCTCGATCGATCTCACCGATCGATCTCACAATCGATCTCACTCGATCTATCTCATTCGATCGATCTCACAATTGATCTCACAATCGATCTCACAATCGATCACACAATCGATCTCACATTCGGTCTCAATATCGATCTCACTATCGATATCACAATCGCTCTCACAATCAACGTCATCATCATCATCATCATCATCATCATCATCAACATCAACATCATCACCAACATCGTCATCATCATGAGGGCACCGTCATCATCATCATCATCATCATCATCATCATCATCATCATCATCATCATCATCATAAACATCATCATCAACGTCAGCATCATCATCGGGACAACATCATCATCAGCATCATCATCACCATCATCATCTCATCATCAACATCATCATCATCATCATCGGGACACAGTCATCGTCATCATCATCAGCAGCATCATCATAATCATCATCATAATCGAGACACCATCATGATCACCATCGTTCTCATCATCAACATTATCATCACCATCGTCATCATCCTCGGGACACCATCATCATCATGACCATCGCATCATCACCATCGACATCAGCATCATCATCAACACCATCATCATCATTGGGGCACCACCATCATCATGAGCAACATCATCATCAACATCGTAATTATCATTATTATCATCATCGGGACACCATTAGTATCACCATCATCATCACCATCATCATCATCAGCATCATCATCGGGACACCATAATCATCATCAACTTCATCATCATCATCAACATCATTATCGCCGGGACACCATTTCCATCAACATCATCATCACCAACATCATCGGAATCACCATCATCATCATCATCATCATAGGGACACCATCATCGTCATCATCATCATCAACATAATCATCATCAGCATCATCATCCTCATCATCGGGGCACTATCATCATCATCGACACCATCATCAACATCATCATCATCTTCATCGGGACACCATCATCATCATCAGCAGTAGCATCATCATCATCATCATCATCAGCATCATCATCATCATCATCATCATCATCATCATCATCATCATCATCATCATCATCATCATCATCATCATCATCATCTCATCATCATCATCCTCGCGGGACACCGCGGGACACCGGCGGGACACCGCGGGACACCGCGGGACACCGCGGGACCGCGGGACACCGCGGGACACCGGCGGGACACCGCGGGCCACCGGCCGCCCGGAAGGGAGTCATTTGGTCCGGCCGCGCCTCAGCCACACGGGACACCAGCGGGACACCGGCGGGACACCGCGGGCCACCGGCCGCCCGAAGGGAATCATTTGGTCCGGCCGCGCCTCAGCCACAGGAGACTTTCTCTCGCCCGCCCACGCAGCTTCGCCTCGCCCGCACGGCACGCAAGAACACGAGGCCGAAATCGATTTCCCGGTAGGGGGGCTCTCCGTTCCACTTCGATCTCACCCCCTCAACTCCGAATCATTTGTCTTGACTTTGCCCCAGCAGCTTAGCAACGGCGGGTTCATTCCTCTCACGCGCCCACGCAGCTTCGCCTCGCCCGCACGCACGACACGACCGAAACGACACGAAACGATTTCCTGGTGGGGGGTCTCCGCTCCGCTGCGATCTCACCCCCCAGCCTCCGATCCCTCCCGTAGAGGGACACGCCCGACTTTCATCCTATCCTGGGGTGCATTCTGACCAGGCTGTTGCGAGGAATCCAGCCGTGGCAACGGCGACTGTCCAGGACGAGCAGCAGCAGCGGCATCGGCACCTCTCCCCCCTCCCTCCTGCTCCCCCCCGCCTCCGGCGGCTTCCGAGCTGCAGCCCCCGGGCCTCCGGCGGCCGTCCGGGACGACCCAGGGCCCCCCCCGGAGCGCTCCCGGCCAGGCGCAGCAGCTGGAGGAAACCTCGCGCCTCGGAGAGCAGGGCTGAACCTAAACGGGGTTTTTGGTTTTCGTCTTGTTTTCGTTTTCCCTCGTTTCGTCTTCCATCCTCCTTGATCGCAAAACGAAACCGAGACGAACACGGCTCACGAAATCGCCAGAGCACCATTCGGGTCCACCCCTGTCGGAGAAGCCGTCCCGAAGCCGACCCTGGCGAAGACCGACGGCCTTCCGAAGCCGACGCCCTCTCTCTTTTTTCGGTGCGGCGGTCGGGGCCGTCGGAGGTGCTGATCGTGCCGTCGCTCTCCACCTCGAGCCTCATCTCTGGCGGCAGGCACCTCGGCAGGGCCTCCTCCCACAGCACGGGCAACGCATCCTTCTGGACGCCCGAGATGGGTACGGAAGACATGGGGACGATGCCCAACAAAGAAATGCGGTCCAACACCGACAGCGGCCGTCGCTGGGCAGGCGGCTTCTTGACTCGAATGGACACCCTCCGCGGCGACACCGACCGCGAGTCCGTTCCAGAGTGAACAAGATCTGGTGCCAATCTTTGTATCCATTCTCTCCGTACGGCCAACCCGTATAGCAAGATTGCGCGATAAGGATGCAAGGGCCTTGGACGCCCATTTCGAAGCTTTTCGAGCGGGGTGCGGCCAACGAAGGTGGCCAAGGATGGACCGAGGAGGCAAGGATGCAAGGGTACCCTTGGGAAGGTTGCCCATACTATTATGCGGGTTGACTGTAGCCACGTGGGCGTTTTCTTATATCGGCGTTTCGACATTGTGCGGAAGGGGAGGGAGGGGGGAGGGGTCTGGCTCTGGACCTCTGCTTAGTGCGACTGTTTGCAGCAGGGCGTCCATCATGGGGGAGACTCCACCTGCCTGAGACAGGCGCCCAAAACAGCCAAGATCTCCTCCAGGGGGGGGGGGGATGAGGGGAGTGTGCGAGGGCCCGCGCCGATCGGCAAAAGACTGAATAAAGAAACGATCACCATTTCGACCGCCCCGAATCCTCGTCCTGCGGGGGCGCGCCTTCGGGGGGCGCTCCGGCGTCCGCGGGGGCCTCCGCGCGGCTCCTCGTCGAGTCTTGCCAGCTGCCGTGCTCCTCCTCCTCCTCCCACTTCCTCGCGGCGGCGCGCACGGCCCCCCCCCCGCTTCCCTGCCATCGCTCGAACGTCCCCTCACCCTCCCTCGCCTCCTCCTCCTCCTCCTCCTCCTCTTCCTCCTCCTCCTCCTCCTCCTCCTCCTCCTCCTCCTCCTCCTCCTCCTCCTCCCTCCTCCCCCCTCCTCCTCCTCCTCCTCCTCCTCCTCCTCCTCCTCCTCCCTCCTCCTCCCTCCCCTCCGCTCCTCCTCCTCCTCCTCCTCCCTCCTCCCCCTCCCCATCCTCCTCCTCCTCCCCCTCCTCCCCCTCCTCCCTCGTGCATCGTTCGGCTCCGTGAGCGCATCTTATCGCAAGCTTACCCAGGATGCTCCTCGATGGTCCCTGCCGGCCAAAAATCTCACGTCCGAGCGATGCCGAGCTTCCCTTGCCTGCGCCCGCTCGGCCTCCGAGCCCGCGCGGCCGCCGCACGGGCAGCCGAGCCGGCCCAGTGCCGACAGGGTCGCAGGGATCCCACCGGCCCTTTGGGCCGAGGTGGTCTCACGAGCTCCTGGTCTCCTCCCTCTTCCAGAGGAGCCCTCTGCCCTCCGGGGAGGGGTGCCCCCCCCCTCCCCTCCCCGAGGACTTTTTTCGGTTCGGGGGGGGGGGGGCGGCCGGTTGGGGCGCCCGAGGTGGCCCACGATGGCTCCAAGAGGGCCTCCGATGCTTGAAGGTGTCCTCCAAGATGGCTCAAGATAACCGACGACGGTTCGAGATGGCTTCTGACGACTGCGCCCACGATGGCTCAGGATGGCTCCAAGAAGACCTGCGATGCTCCAAGACGGCCTCCAAGATAGCCCAAGAAGACCGAAGATGGCCCCCGCGCGGATCCAATACATCCGCGCGGAGCGCCAAACATTTCTGTCTGTGCCGTTGTTCTTCGACATTCTGCGGCCGAGTGGGCAAAGACGCCGCACGGGCTCAGCAGGGAGCCCTGCGGGCAGGCCGAGGCCTCGCGCCGACGTGCGTCCCTCCTCGGCTGCACGGCGGCCTGCGACGCGCCGGCTCTCTCACGAAGGGGGGGGGCCCGCGGGGCCGCCAGGGGACGGAGCGCCGCACCCCGGGGGGGGGGGGGCGCGGGAGCACGCCATGTCGGCGGATGTCTGGGAGCCCTGCCCTCGCCGATCAGCGGTTCGAGCAACTCGACGGGCGGCGGGGGCAGGGCTCGGAGCTCGCCGGACACGGGGCGCCATCCGAAGTCGGCGGTGGACAAAAGTGAAAACGGCCTGGGACCGAAACCGACGGCCCTGGGCCCGCAAAAATGACGGCCGCGACGCCCTCTCGCGAACCGAGAACGGCCGATTCCTTAATCGACGTGTCAGGGTAGGAGGTCTGTCCACCCCCGGCGAAGCCTGCCCACGCCTCCCGTCGACTCAGGAGCAGCGATGGTTGGTGGCGGTAGGCTTCCGATGGCGCCACCCATCTGCCGCCCGCCCGCCCGCCTGCCTCGTCGCGCAGGACCTCAGGGGCGTGCGTGGCGGGGGAGTGGGGCGGGGCGGCGGCACCGTGCTTGCACGTGTGCGCCAGCACGAGGTGCCGGCCCTGGCGCTGCGCCGGCGTCCAAGCCTGAGCTCACCTTCGCGCTGCGTGTGCGCCAGGATTTGGAGCGCGGTGGCCTCCCGAGAAGCCGGGGCCCCGCAACTTTGGTGGGGGACGCACTGGCCCGGGCCACCGCAAACCTGGAGGAGGAGGAGGAGGAGGAGGAGGAGGAGGAGGAGGAGGAGGACGAGGAGGAGGAGGGGCCGGCTGCACAGACGCTGGCTCAGCGAGAAACGGCAGAAACGGCAGGAGGAGGAGGAGGAGCAGTCGGGCCTTGCCGGATCCCGCACAATCTTGCAACGTCCTGCAGGATACTGCGCTCGAGCCCAGGTCAATGCACCCCGGCCTGGCAGGATCCTGCAAGATCCAGCGCTCTGGAGGACCCCCGTTTGCACTGACCCCCGTCTCTCACAACTCGATGTGGGGCCTCTTGGGAGGGCCCAGGGGCCGCCAGGGGTGGGGGCCTCTCGGCAAGCTCCCCTCCCGCCCTCCTGAGAGGGGGGCCGTCCTCACGCCCCGCCCCCTCCCTCCCCAGACTCGGCGGCGAGGGAGGTGGGCAAGCGAGAGGGAAAAGGCCTTCTCGAAAGGCGGCGGGACTTCTCAGAAGCCCTCTCGCGCTGTCCCGGGAAGGTTTCGTGCCTTCGGGGCAGGCTGGGGCACCTTCTCGGAAGGCGGGCGGGCTTCCGAGCCCTCCGAGAGGGCCCGCCCCCTCTCGCATCCCCCCCAAGCGCGGGCCGGCGACAGACACCGTCGCGTCGTGAAACAAGCACGACGGAACCCTCAGTCCTGAGAACTAGCTGCTGTTGTTGAGCCCCCCTGCCCTGCGACGGTGCTATTCTTCGACTAAAAATGCTTTGCCCGTGGCTCGCTCCCTGTGCCTTCACGAGGGAAGGAAGTCGATGTGTCACCAATCTGCGCCCACGGCCCCGGGTTTGCAGCAACAGCGGCTCGGGCCTGATGTTCTCTCACAACGTATTCCCGCATCGCGCTCTCGCGCGGGACGTCCTCACAAGTTATATAAGAATCGCGCTGTCGCGTGGGTCTTCCTCGCCATTTATTCAGGCGTCGCGCCCTCGACACTCAGGAATCACGCTCTCGCTTTGGAATTCCGTCTCGATCAATTTGGAAATCGCGCTATCGCTTGACACGTCCGTGCGGTTCATGATCAATCACGCTTCAAAGCCGCCTGCTCGACCTGGCCGCCTGGGCCTGCCTTCCCGAACCGCCCGTGAAGGTCTACCCGCCGGTCTGGTTCTGCCACGGGCTTTCTGTTCCTAGCCCCCCCATTCTGCTGATCCCGTGCTCCATCCTCCTCCCTCCCCCCTTGTCCCTTCCTTCCATCCGTCCCCTTTTACCCCTGCCGTAGGGGCTGCACGAAATACACGCTGCAGGTAAGAAGGGTATACCCCCAGGGGGGTGCGATCGAAAACGGAGAGGGCGGCTATCGAGGGTTTGGGATACACGTGTTGAATGGCACGCGAGGAGATTAGCGCAAACAGTCTGAATAATGTTGTTGTTGCTGCTGCACTCGTTGTTGTTGCTGCTGACGAGCCCTCATTTCTAAAGAGTAAAGATTGTTGGTCCCCCTGCCCAGTAACCGCTTTCGTGTGCAATTGCAGTGCCTCGCCCCGAGCCCGCACCCTGTTTTTTTCCCACAAAGGAAAGCGATGTGTCACCGAGCTGCGACCCCCGGTTTACAACAACAACGTCTCCCGCCTGATCTTGCCTCACAATTTATTACCCAATCGCACTCTCGCGCGGGACTGCCTCACAATGTTACGGAAATCGTGCTGTCTCGCGGGTCTTCCTCGCAATCTATTCAGACGTCGCGCCCTCGAAACTCAAGAATCGCACTCTCGCTATGGCCTTTCTCACGATATATTTGGGAAGCGCGTTGTCGCTCGAGACTTCTCCGCGATTCATGCAGGACGCACGCTTCAGCAACCTGCCTTCTCGACCTGGCCGCCTGGGCCCGCCTTCCCGACGCGCCTGTTAGGGTCCACCCGCCCGATCTGCCCGTCTGGTTCTGCTACGTGTTTTCTGCTCCTAGCCCCCGTCCTGCTACTCACCCTCGTGCTCCATCCTCCTCCCTCCCCCCTTGTCCCTTCCTTCCATCCGTCCTCTCTCTATCCCTGCCATAGGGGCTGCACGAAATGCGCGTTGCAGGCAAGACAGGTATACCCCCAATGGGGGTGCGATCGTAAACGAAGAGGGGGGATATCGATGGTTTGGGATATATGTGTTGAAGAATGGCTCGCCAGCAGATTAGAGCAAACATAATCAAACTTATTGTTGTTTTTGTTGTGGCTGTTGTTGTTGTTGTTGTTGTTGTTGTTTTGTTTGTTGTTGGTGTTGCTGTTGCTGTTGTGGTGGTGGTGGTGGTCGTCGTTGTTGTTGTCGTTGTTGTTGTTGAACATTATTACTTCTAAAGAATAATTATTGTTGGGGCCCCTGGTGCACGACCCCCCCGCCGCGCCTAGGCCGCAGCCTCATTTTCATCATTTTCGTGAAGAAGTCTCAGGCAAAACGGGGGAGTCCGGATCCGGTTGTGTTGTTACGATCGGTTTTCCCTTGCAAAAAATAAGCTAAAATGGACATTTCTTGTTCTAACATAACCAAACTTCAAGAATCCCTTGCAACAAATAAGGTAAAGTGGACATTCGCGCGCGCAAGACGAAATCCTTCCAAAACCTTAGTTTTCGTAGCGATTTTAACATAAAAACATAAAAAACCAATGGTTTTTCAAAAAAAATTGTCAAACTTTCATCCCGCGCGCTCTTGCGGATTTGTAGGAAACCCAACACTTTTTAATCATTTCTGTCAAACGGGCTTTTGCGAGCAACTTTTTCACGTGCTTCGAACTTCTCCAACAACGGTTGCGCACCTGCCAGGGCCATCATCCCTGTCAAAAAAAAAATCCTAACGGGGAAAAGTCGTATACTAAGCTAGCGTCCAGAAAATGTTACCACAACAAGTCACTGTACCCATGCGCCAGTGTAGTAGCCACGGTCGTCCGCAGGCCACGAAGTGAAGTGTCCGAACGTCATAGGGCGGGAAGCTGGGTGTGGGTGGTGGCGAAGAGTCGTTTGGAAATGTGGTAGAGCTTGAACCGGCCCCCCCACAAAGTGGGGGTATTGGCGGGCGTCGTATGAAAACCCTGGCACTGGTGAGAACGGAGTGTCCCCACGTGCTAGTAATTGTTGTTGTTGTTGTTGTTGCTGGTGTTGTTGCTGCTGCTGCTGCTGCTGTTGTTGTTGTTGTTGTTGTTGGGTAGTCATTCTAGATAATAATTACAGCTGGTCTCTGGAAGCGGTTCCGCACGCTCCCGCCTCGACGCCGGCTGCAATTCCTTTGAAAACGAAGCTCCCGCTCGAGCGCCGCGGGCTTGATTGTAAAAGTGTGCCCTTGGAGGCCCTGCTACAACGACAACGGCTCCCGATCGATATT